CCCGATCAACCAACCATCTATAATCCCGGCGATACAAAATGGCATCCTCATCAACCCCAGCAACCCCATTGCTATAGTACGCCCCCTCTCCCTCCTTCTCCCTCATACTAACAACCCCCTCCCCTCAGCGCCTGCATATCCCACAACCACACCATCCTCACCGAGCATACCACCTCCGCCTCCAGCCAAACCTCCTCCCTCGCCTCCCTCATCCTCCCCAAAATCTCCCACGCCAAGCCCGAAAAACTCACCTACACCCACGGCACCCACCACATCCACTACATCTCGGAAGCCCCCTCGGAGCACCAATCCAACCCCTCCGCCGGCGGCCTCACCTTCCTCGTCATCGCCGACGCCTCGCTGGGCCGCCGCATCCCCTTCGGCTTCCTCGTCGAGGTGCGCAACCGCTTCTTCGCCAAGTACCCCGAAGCCACAACCGAATATGCCGATCTCCAGGACTACGGCGCAGCGGGGTTCAACAGCGAGCTGCGGATGCTGATGGTGGAGTACGGGACCACGGGCCACGGACGGGACGATGCGATTACCAACGCGAAGCGGGAGATTGACGATGCGCGGGGGATCATGACGCAGAACATCGAGGTGTTGCTGGAGAGGGGGGAGAGGATTGATTTGCTGGTGGACAAGACGGATAGGTTGGGAGGCAGTGCGAGGGAGTTTCGCGTGCGAAGCAGGGGGTTGAAGAGGCAAATGTGGTGGAAGAATGTTAAGCTCATGACGCTGTTGGGGTTGGTGATGGTGTTGATTTTGGTCACGATAGTGATCTCGGTGAAGAATAGTATGAATTAGGGGGGTGGTTTCATCTGTTTGGATGGCGTTCTTGGCTTGGCGGGCGTTGATGGGAAGCTAGAGGACGCTGCGGTTATGCAACGTCTGTAACGGCTGTACTAGTGCCACGGTTGTACGTGTTCAAAAGACACGGGGAAAAGGAAGACACTGGAGGGGACAGATAAAACAACACGGCAGTGTTTGCTTTCTTTTGTTGGGGCTGCATGCTTCTCTTCTCTGCATTAGTACTACCGATACCCAGATTTTGGGCTCCTTCAGAATCCTATCATTACCACCTCTTCTTGTAATATACTTTTGATTTGAAACGGCCGGCAAGATTAAGATGATACGCTCACCCACGTCCCACCACCTTGAAGTGACGTCCATTCCCAGCGTTCCGAGAGCCTGCTCCTGGCTTTCCTCCCTCTGTCTACCTGATACTGGTACTTCTCATAACCTTGGCCCAGACGAACCGTTCGCTCCTGTCTTATTGCGCAATGCATCCTGGTAGGCGTAGCCATGAACAATCGGACTCGCATGTAATGCTGGCGGCGCAGCGAGCGCAAGAGGTTGTCGCCGTAGTTTTTGCGTGAAGAAGACTGGGTGGCAATGTGATGCGCTCCAAGTAGGTTGCAATGTGACTTGGCTCGGCGGCGGTACCGGCAGCGGTGGTGGTTGAAGTGCCGCCATGGGAAGTGATGAGGCTTGTGGTGAGAGAAGGGTGAGAACGGGGAACGGAGGGCCGAGGTCCAGCGGAGTATGGAACCAGTGGCCGAAATGAAATGAGACGGATGCGTTGGAGGTGATAGAGCCCCGTCGTGATGACTGATTGCTGTGAGCGCCGGTATGATGGATTGTGAGTGAGTTGCAAGTGAGGTAGAGAGTAGGTAGGGGATGACTGGGTGTCGTCATTGTCGGCCCCGACTGCACGTGAAGTGCCGAGGGCGGCCCCACTTCGGACACCTCGTTGATGACACCGCTGCCAAGCCAAAACTGAGATGGAACTCAACCACCGCCTTCCAAAAGGTCTTCGAGATAAAATAAAGATCCCATAAAAATCCCTTCAGCTAGATGAGGGTGTAGCCTTCCCGCCCTTCTTCGATTTCTTCCCGCTTTTCCCCTTCTGCGCCTCCTTTTGCTCCTTATTCTTGGCAATGGTCTTGATGAGAGCCTCAATCTCAGCCGCCGTCTTTGCCTTCTCATCCTCTTCTTTCGCCTTCGCCTCTTCTTTTTCTTTCTTTCGCTTTTCCTTAGCCCTCCTCAAGGCGGCTTGCTTCTCGGCCGTCTCGATCAATTTGTCGCTTGCCTCCCAGAGCTTCTTGGCGACCTCGTCATCCTTGACGTCCTTCCTCGCAGGGTCAACTTCCATGCACTCCTTGATCAATTTTCCTCCCGTTTCCCGGACAAGGCTGCCCTCGGATAAGGCCCACAGGATAGACTGGGCACCCATGAAGGGGCTCTTTAGGAAGAGCCATGACACAAGCCATAACATCATGTAGATGAGCAACCCGAACAGCGATCCTCGTGTCAGCCAGCGCCTCATACCGGGTGTCCTCGTGTATCCTGGATCGACCATGAAGACACGCGCATTCATGGGCAGCTGGTCTGGCCTTTTGTAGCTGTCCAAATGCTTTTGGTAGGCCTGACCAAACACCATCAGCGCCAGTTTGCTCCGGGCGTAAGCGGCTCGCGCTGTCCAGTCTTTCACGGTCAACGGAACGTCCAGCGGTGGTGCCGATATGTATGTTGAGCATGTCGGCAAGATGATCCGAACGTCGCGGTCAAACGGCTGAGCGCGAATGGCGGGGCTCAGGATACCTAACAAGTGGAAGTTTGCGAGAAAATTGACCATCCACGTGGTTTCAATGCCTTCGGGGGTTTCGGTCCTCTTGCCGCCAGGCGGTGTCATGGTGGCCGCGCACAAGACGATCATGTCCAGACGACGGGGCGGTGAGTTGTCGACCCACTTGGTTGCAAACTGGCGGACACTGTGCAGGTCATTGAGGTCCATTTGCTCAGCATATATGAGACGGTTGCCCGTCTGGGCGCGCAGGTCGTCGATGTAGTCGACCAAAAACGGGTCCGATGGGGGCTGGCGGGTGAGCAGAACAAGCTGGGCGCCGCGTTTGGCGAGTTGGTAGGCCGTGATGGCGCCAATTCCGGATGTGCCACCCGTCATCAACACTACACGGCCGTGCATGTCCCGTTCGGCAGTGCAGAGGGCGCCCTCCATGTAGCGCTTGGTGAACGCGACGGCAGCAATGGCGCTCGCTGCGCGGATGAAGTGCCGTGGAGCTGGCAGCTGTTCCGGCCATCCCTCCTGGAGAACGTGGAGAATGAAGGGAATCGGCATTGTGTGTTGGTCAGTGGGAGCGCTATAATATCATTCCGTCCGGGATGTTGGGCTTGAACTGCGGAAACAGAATTCGATGTTGGAGCTTGGAATTCGATGCCAGTTCCAGGCCAGCGAGCTGTTACGTAGCCCCTGTCAAGCTTGATTTAAGTGGGTCCATGACATTGCTCGGTTCCTGGATCCACCTGCTCCATTAACAACATAGTCTTGAAATCAGCTGCCTTGACATCTCTCAATTCAGCTTTGTCCAGATATGGATTGAACTGCAGCCTACCTCCAGAGGCTGTAACTTTTCATCTAGAGATTATCTAAGCCCTCGTACGTTGAAAGTCTACTCTAGGGCGTGCCCTTCACCGAACTTCCAAATGTTATCCTCACATGGGCGGGATCTGCCAGCGTTGCACCGCGATCCCGCCACTAACAAGAGCCGCAAAACAGGCACCTACCCACCTGGACTGGCCACCTCGAACTTGCCTTCAACAACCACAAACAGAAGATGGCACCGCCATCCCAACCCGCTGAGCCAGCCGAAGAGGACAAATATGACTACGATGTCGAAACACCATTAGAGCGCATCCGGCCGTTTGGAACTCTTCACCGCAAACAAATAACATTTGTCCCAGCATCCGGCAACGCGCAGCTCAACTCCACAGATGCCACCGCCGCCCCAAAACCACACCAAGATGTAGCAAACATCTACCTAAGCATGGTCCTACCGGAAGACGTCAAACCCCCAGATTCCAAGGACGAAAAGAACGCAGCACCACCTACCCTCTGCGAAGTCTGCAATCTCCCCATGGATTCCCTAGCACCCCAAGATCCCCAGTCCCAGGACGGTCCCCCAAGAACCGCCACCCCCCACGAAAACTCACTGGCTCACCAGCTCTGCCTTCCCCACTCCCATCCCCCTTCGGCACTGGACCGCTCACGCATGGGCCTAAACTACCTCTCCACCCATGGCTGGGACCCCGACGCTAGGCGAGGTCTCGGCTTTGAGCAGCAGGGGATTCAGTACCCCGTGAAAACCAAAGTCAAGGAGGATAGGCTGGGGATTGGGATGGAGGTGCCCAAGAACCAGCCGGTGAGGAAGAAGGAGACCATGCTTGATGCGAAGAAGGTGAGGAAGATGGCGGAGGAGGAGAAGAAGAGGGCTGCGAGGATACGGCAGCAGTTGTTTATGAGGGATGATTTGGAGAAGTATTTTGGTCCGGGGGCTGGGTGAAACTGTGGGGTGGGATGGGTTTCGGGATGCACGATTTTCGCTGGAGGGTAGAGATGATGGATGGATCAGTTGCTGGCGGTTTGATCATTACTATCGCCGTTCTGAGGCACCAGAGTGAGCCTTCAGGGGTTTCCTCCGGTTATTGGGAGTGTCTCAGGACGCACGTCGGAGGACCTTGTATGAGATGATGGAAATGAAGACAAGCACACGAAGGTACAGAAATCCTTTTCTCATGTTTAGAAACCTAGAGGCCAGGTGCTGACTCCGCCGAAGCTTCGTTAGAGAGCAAACAGATTGACAGGATATGGCGTTGCTAATTCGCCTCCCTTTCCGCTTTCTGTCTTGTCTGTTGATATTGAAGAAGGTGCATTTACGCCCTGAAGAGTAGTACTTCAGGGTAGGATAGGATGGCCTGTGATGATCAGCAGATCCCTTTGCTGCTGTCTTGGCTGGAAATTCGGCTTGCATCGCATGATGAGCAAAATGGAACTATTGCCTGCGCGCACACCCGACGTCTCTCGTAAACCACATCCTACTCTTCTCAGCATCCCCTCATCAGCACCATCACCGCCAGCCCTCTCGAACACAACCACCACCAAAACCAAAAATACAGACACCCTAACCCCAGTATCTCTCTCTCTCTCCCGCCGGGAATTGAACCCGGGTCTCGAGCGAAGACATTCCCACAACGGAATTGACAAGCTCACATACTGACCACTATACTACGGAAGATATCGCCAATGTTTGTAACCAGCAGCAGTAGTTTGTTGCGGTGGGTGCCTGCAGATCTCGAAAACGGGGAATCGAACCCCGGGCTGCTGAGTTTCTCAAAGATTTGAGAATCAGCGATGTCCACTACACCATACCCGATTGTGATCTTGTTGGGGTTACGGGCTGGGAATGGATCATGTGAACCGCGGAGGCTGTGGATTGTGTGGGGATTTAGTGTAGGACAGGTAGAGTAGGGAGAACGAGGCGCCCCAAACGCCGTATTCAGGAAAGCAAAAAAGACGAAAATACAGCCTGTCCTTGTATTCTAAAGTCAAATTTAGGAAAACAGACAATAAAGGCAAAGGTGCAAAAAAATGAAGCCGACCACGGTGCGACTCGAACGCACAATCTCCAGAGCCGAAATCTGGCGCCCTAGCCATTGGGCCACGCGGCCTTGTAACCAATGATGTTAGTTGGGTTCGATATTGTACACTATGCTTGCTTGGCGTCTGCGGGCTGTGGATTTCCAGGACTGCAACACGCAGAGGGAGGACAGACCAAGAGGTGTGGGAAATAGCTTGTTGGTGAGTTCCAATTTGGCAATAAGTTCAAACGGTTTCATTTGGACCCTATAAGTTGCGGGTTGTTTTCGTCCCGCCTCTTGGGTGTCTTGGTGCACTTGGTGCTGCAGCCAAGTCAAGTGAAAAAAGGGCAGCGCTTGAGAGCATTCTTAGGTGAGGTCTCAAGAGTGTTCATGACAAAATTCCTTTCATTCCCATATCTACAAATCTATCATAGAATCATACTTGGTTTTAATGAGCATAGTGTAGCATCATCGCCCAACACCATCTTTCCCGTCATCCAGCTCATCTTATAATCTCCTACCAATGCCTCTATCAAACTACCCCCTCACACCACTCCCACTCCCCCCTCCATCCCCTCCAGCTCCCCAATCAGCTCTCCCTTCCTTCTTCCCATCCCCATCCACCACCGGCACCCTCGGCATCTCCACCCCGACAACCCTCCACTCCATACCCACATACCCATCACTCACCACCAACACATCCAACTTCCTCCCCTCTCCCTCCGGCACCTTCATCCTCGCCCTCGCCACAGGCTTACTCCCCACCTCAACCCCCATCCTCTTCCCGTCAACAACTCTATTCCCCGACCCCCAGCCAACCCTCTTCACAGCCACAACCTCATCTCTCGCCAGATCTCCTACGATGACGAACCAGCCCTCCGTCTGCGGTTTGGGGAACTTGGGCGCGTACATGCGTCCTTCCCGCTCCGTGATGGGGTTTGTGCGTCTCAACACGACGGTGAGCTCGTCGGTCTTTAGAGCGTCAATCTTGACGTCGACGTTGGGGACGGCAGAGGCGGCTCTGATGAATTTGTCTTGGGAGTGTCGCGGGATGCCGAGATCTCGAGCGAGATTTTCGAGCTGCTGGGGGTTTCGGTATGACGAGCTCATTTGCTGAAGAGTGGTGTCGTTGTTCTTGCCTTCGAGGGCGGTGTCGACACCTGGAAGAATGGAAAGAGGCGACTCGGTGGGCCAGCGTGCGGACTTGATGCTTTGCAGGAGGTGGGTGAATTCGAGGAGGGACGAGAGATGACCGAGTTCGGCCATGACGTCGATGGAGGCCTGGATGATACGCACCGCTTGGTCGAGAACGCTCGTTTGGTCGCCAACGTAGTCGGTGATGGGCAGCGGGATGCGTGACATGTGTGCCTGGAGCAGCAGGAAGGACTTGACATGGGGGTCCCACATGGGGAGGCCAAAGCCGGTGGCGGGGAACGGGAGGGCTTTGGAGAGCTCGGCGTTGATGAGGTCCTCGTTGTGGCGGACGGGAAGCTCATCGTACTCGGTGGCATGGGACATCCACGTGAGGGCATCGATAAACGAGGCTCCAGCCTTGGCTTTGCGGGCTAGATAGCGGATCGTCTTGTGCGACAGATAGTAGTAACTCATAATTTTACCCAGAGGCGTCGGATGAACATCACCGTTGGGATAAACCTCAACACACTTGGAATCGGCGAGTGCCTTGAGTGAGGCGTCGACCATCTCGATCATGAAGCCATTGGCCGCCTGCTGTGCCGACGTGCTGTTGTGTTCCTCGGCCGAGATCTCCAGACCGTAATAGGACGGATTCTTGTGCAGACGCCGGAAGAAGAAGGTCCACGTCAAGTAATCCAGAGCATCCTGCTTGGTGATGACCGTCTCGGCGCAGATCTCGGCGCACAAGTGGTTGTCCAAAACAGTGTGCAGCGAGGATTCGACCGGGAAGCCTGTGTGGAGGAAGTGCTTGTAAAAGTCCTTCTTGGCGTCTTGCGTGAAGATGCGTGCCACGCCAGAGTTGTCAAACTGCGGTCGCCCCGCGCGGCCTAGCATCTGGAGCACGTCGGTGAGGTCCATGTCTTTGTAAGCCTCAATCTTGGCGTCGTAGAACTGCGTGCCCTTGACGACGACGAGATGGGCTGGAAGGTTCACGCCCCAAGCAAGCGTACTTGTGGCGACCAAGATCTGAATCTTATTGTTCAGGAACAGCTCTTCAGCCAGTTGCCTGTCAGACTCAACCAAACCGGCATGGTGGAGACCGATACCAAAGCTGATGGCTTCCTTGAGCGCATCGTCCTTAACCCGCGCGAGGTTTAGTTGGAGATCATCTTCGTCCATGTGCAGGAATCGCCTCGGGTTGTCCTCCATTCCGCAAAGATTGATGAGATCCTTTGCCGTAAGTCGAGTTTGTCTGCGAGACGGTACAAACACAATGACGGGCTTGTCGGGGCTGTGGTTCAAAATCGCGAGGAACGTCGGACGATTCATCGACTGCATTAGAGGGCAGAAGCCCCTGACTTCGGGGAAGCCATCAATGTAAAGTTCCAAGGGCACCGGTCTCACCGAGTGCCGGAAGTTGAAAAGTCCCTCCTTGACACCGAGCCAGTTACCCAGATCGTTGGCGTTGGCGCATGCCGTCGACATGCCGAGCAGTCGCACCGCATTCTTGGTCGATTCGGCGATGTAGTTCATTCGCGAGACAATAATCTCCAAGATAGGGCCGCGGTCTCCTGCCAGAAGGTGAATCTCGTCAATAATGACAAGGCTAACTTTTCTCACATACCCTCTGGTCTGCCAGCTACGTGAGATACCATCCCACTTCTCAGGCGTGGTGACGATAATATCCGCATCCTCGATAGTCCGCGTATCCGGTGTATTGTCGCCCGTCAGCTCGACCAGTTTCAGGCCCAGAGGACGAGCAAGACGCGTGCCCCAGTCCTTGACACGCTCACGCACGAGGGCCTTCATCGGTGCGATATACACGACCTTGGACCCAGGGCGTTCGCGGAAGGCCCACCACATGGCCAGCTCTGCGGCAACCGTCTTGCCACTTCCTGTCGGTGACCCCAAGAGGACATTCACCGGCCTGTGATACAGAGTGTGGAATACCTGCGTCTGCATCGGGTTGAAGAACTGGAAGCGTTGCGCATAGAGTTCTTCCAGGGCCGCGTTCTTGAGCGCCGAAATGGGGAGGGGCTGTAGGTTGAGCAAGTCCGTGTAGACGCTCTCGGTGTCAGGCCGGATGAGATGCTGGAACGAGACCGCCGTCACCGTTTCTGCGCCTATCCATCTGTCTGATACGGCACGGACGTAGATCTGCTTGGGGAGGGGATCCGACAGCGGAATAGTAAAGTTGAGTTCGTGGTCGTCGTGAAGCTTCCTACGACTCAAGAGGAAGAACTCGTGGTGGTAGATCTCGAAAGTCTCAGAGTTCTCAACCCAAATGTAGTACGACTCGGACGTTCCGTGCAGGTAATCGTTCCAGCGGAAGTCTGGTGTCACATGAAGCTTGATCCTCAACACATCGCGGTTCAGGGGCGCAATCTCGGCCTCGATGCTGAGCGTTGGGAAGTTGTCCAGCAATTTGGCAATCTTCCCGCCCATGCGGAAGTTGTTGACCAGATTGCCAATCTCAGCTGGCTCCATTTCCCGCATAGACTCGATGTTCAACGAGTCTTTGGCATCTAGGTTGTTCAGCACCGGCTTGGGCAGATCAAACTGATGAAAGGGATGCTGGAACTCAGCCCAAATTCGCTTCTCAATGCTCTTCGCCAGTGTGAGTAGAACCCAGCATTGGTAGCCCCATCTCCGGTTGAGGGCAATCATGAAAAGCGCTCTGCAGATACGTCCCGCTTGCTGGGCAACGTAGTTCAAGTCGTTTGCCAGCGCAAAGTCGTCCGGCTGGCCCCTGGAGATGTAAGCCTGGAGGAGGATGTTTGTCTTGGCCTGCGGAGTATCGATGCCGGACTTGACCTCATAAGGGACAAAGTTCTTGTTATTCCTCATAGCCGTTAATTCGTTGGCTTCGTTGTTTCTTGACTGGATATTGTCAAACTCGCCGCTCATAGCGATCATCTTCAAGATATCCGTCTCTGTGGCCTCAGGGCTCATCATAGTGTTGAAGATCTGGATACTGGTGTACTGGATGTAGTACTGGCTGGCAATGCGCCCGATATCCTTGCTTCGCAGCTCCTCTGTGGCCTCGTTGAAGATGATCATTTGGCTCTGCTGAAGCGTCCTGGCAGCCTCGATGGCGAGTTTGCGTCGCCTCTGAACCAGTGACCGGTCATCGTTGTATTCAGCCCAGTCAATGCCATATGCCATCGGGTTTCTCTTCATACGGACGTAGAGGTACGAATAGCTGATCCACTTGACGGCCTCGGGGATTGAAGTGACCGTGCCCAGAGCGATTTCAGCGTTCAAGTTGTCGACAAGCTTGGCCGAAAACCGCGATTCGATTGGCAGCTGGTCTGTGACCGCAGTGAGATAGTGAGACAACTTGTCCTGCGTTGTGCAAATCATGCCGATACCAACATCCTCAAACTGGGGACGACCGGCACGACCGAAAATCTGCAGCACGTCGAGGATTCCCAGGTCAACAAATTTACCGTCCTGTGCGCTGTAAACCTGCGTGCCCTTGATGACAACTGCTGCGGCAGGCAAGTTGACACCCCATGCAAGAGTGGCGGTACAGCAAAGTACCTTCAAGACACCCTCACCAAACAGTCGTTCCATGAGGTTTCGATCCGACCGCGCCATACCGGCATGATGAATGCCGATGCCCTTCGGCACAAGCTCACGGAGCTCTCGCCCCTTGGTCTGCTTGACATCCTTCATAGCGGCCTCGTACTTCTCGTGATAGGTAGGATCAAACAGATCAACGCATGCTTGGTCCACAGCCTTTTCGTAAAGCATTTTGGCCGTTGCTTGCGTATCCCTTCTGGAGTGGACAAACACCATGACCTGGTGGTCCAGCTCCAGCATCTCCCTGACCTTGTCGAAGGCCACCTGGTCGAGGTTGTCTCGCGACTGCTTGGTTCCAGCCTTGCCCTTGACACCGATGAAGTGCTGCTCCAGCGGAACCGGCCTGAACGAGCTGTCAAAGTAGAAAAGAC